ATCATTTCTATTGCAGTATAATATTATAATTGTACAAGTTTCTAAACTCTCGTGGCTTATATATATATATATATATATATATATATATATATATAAGCCACGAGAGTTTAGAAACTTGTACAATTATAATATTATACTGCAATAGAAATGATTTGTCGTGAACAATTGAATTTCAAATTAAATTGGAAGTATAAACAAAAGAATACATTTGTTTTGACTAATTAACACACTCAAAAAGGATATATATTTAATATAATACTACTTTAATATTTAATTGAATTTTATATTTTAATTAAAATCATTTATTACAGTGAATATAATATTATTGATTGATATACGAAATATAATGATTTTATTATAATTAACATAATAAGTGTTATTTTCTTAGAGAGAGAGAGAGAGAGAAATATTTTAATGTTAGATAAAATAAAAAAATAATATTATTAGAGTGTATTATATAATTAACTTGTACAAAAGAGAGAGAGAGAGCGAATTTCAAACTACGTAGGAAGCAAAATAACAACAACTACAACAACAAAAACAACTATTCAAACCGATGTCTCGTTAAATAGAATAATTCGTCGTCGAATGTTACGCTAAAGTTTCAATTAATCCTACAAAGGGTAAGGTAACCTAATACGTGGACAAGTTTGATTGGTTTATTTTTGGTAAGTAAAACCGGAACGTTTAAATCTCTCGAGTGAAGTCCTGTTTTACGTCACGGACGAACGTTTCTTAAAATATCTGTGCCACCTTTTCCTTAATAGATTTTAACTACAAATTTTCTATATATTCTACTTTTTCCCTTCTTCAAAATAATAAAAATAAAAAGAATAAGCAAATAAAGAAATGAAGAAATAAATCGAGATTAATCTTCGATTAAAAAAAAAAAAAACAGACCTCGTTGCGTGAATTCCAAATTATTATTATGAAAACACCCCCCCGTTGTGAGATTGTTTCGTTGGAAAATACTAGAAAAAGAAATAAAAGAAAAAAAAACAAAGACAAAATCATAATAATAAATAAAATTTATTCGTTATTAACCGTCGTATATATATATATACAATATATATACATACACATATATATTTACGTCGAAAAATAAAAATCGGATAAGAAAAAAAAAAAAGAAAAGAGGGTGGTTAGTGGAACCAAAAAACAAAAAAAAAGAAAACACGTATATAAATTTCTATATTATCAACATATAGATAAATAGATATCTATATTTATCTTCAGATATAAGCTTAACCGATCTTGGTAAGCATCCTATTCTCTCTCTCTCTCTCTCTCTCTCTCTCTCTCTTTCTCTTTCTATTGATTAATTCTCAGTTTTTCTCGAGATTACGTTTAGTTCGTATTCCTTCGCGGCGCTCCAAGTCGGAATAACAGGGAACCCTAACCCTACGCGCAACCATTCGCGCCACCCCTTCCCGTAACACCCCCCTCCCAACCACCACCATCAAGTCCTGGTTCAATCCCCGCTCAATAGACATATACCTTTATCCCCACCAAAAATTCCAACCCTCAAATACCCCTCCCCACCCATCAATAATACTCTCTCTCCCTCTCCTTCATCCCCTTTCCCTTTTCTCCCTTTCTCTCTCTCTCTCTCGCTTTTCCACCCCTCGGGCAAAACCACGCGCGCACGCGCCCGCGTATATCACACACACACACGGGCGCACGCATGCACGCACGCGTATACCTGTCCTCGAATTTTGAACTCCCATACGGTCGCGCCATCTTCGAATATTTTCCAAAGATTCTTCTTCACTCACCCCCTAGTGTTGTCCCTTTATTCGTCATATTTCCCCCCCCCCACCTCTGTCATTCACTCTATCTCTCTCTCTCTCTCTTTTTCTTTTTCTTTTTGATTCAAATACTTTTCCGATATTTTTACCACCTCTTCCACTCTCCCCCATTTGATTCCCCATTACTATATTCTATTTCATTTGATTTTCTCTATCTCCGTCTGACATATCCTCGTCTTTTACTACTTTTCTTTTCTTTCCTTTCATTTTCTTTTCTTTTCTTCTCTCTTTCTCTCACACATCACGTTTTCCCATTTTTCTATTTTACGTTTTTCAACCTCAATAGTATATCCTCTACAAGTTACATACAAACCTACTATCTACTTTCCTTTCTTTACCATCCCTCTCAACTAACCCCTTCCCTCTCTCTCTCTCTCTCTCTCTCTCTCTCACTTGCACTGCTATCCCGTCGATTCACCCCTCCACCACCTCGAACCCACGGGTACCTCGTAGCTCCATAGTTTTGCTCCCTATGGCAGTCGCTCGACAGCCACCCTCTCAACGCGCTCTCTACTCTACCTAATCGTGATTAGGTTAACGGTAACGTGGCAACATACGAGAAATCACTGAAAAACCGATTCGCCTAGTTTAACATATATATCGCTCATTTAAATATCTAATTAATTATTATATTAAATCTCTCATAGTGTGAATTTTTTTCGATTATTATTGTTATTATATTTTCTTGAATTTTCTTTCTATACGTGTACTCACTCATTCACTTTGTTTCAACACACTCTCATTCGTATTCTTTTTCCTACCCTTTCCTTAACCCGCATCCCACTCCCTCCACCCCTCTTCACAGATTTTCATCGTTTGTTTGTATCATTATCATACTCGACAATTTTTTCTGTCTTCTTTCTTTCTTTTTATTTTTTTTAACCCCTTATTTCCCTTTTTTCTTTTATTTTATTTATTTCGTTTCATTTGTCACAGTGGGGTGGTGGTTAATTTGTCACCTTACCTATCTACCAGAGCATACATATATACATACACACACACACACACAACAACGGTGTCGACTTCACAATCCTACGACGGACCAAAACAAGGTACGATCTACTTAAATGTTGTCTGACATATTCCACATATATTCTACTTGCTTCGACGTCTGGCCGAAATAAGATTCGTACTACTTTGAGATACGAGAAAACATATATATATGAGGTAGAAAGTAGATAAGAGAGACCCCCGTTTAAAAATAAATTTATCATTGACGCGAATAATCAATGAATGAATGAATGAATCAATCAATCAATCAATCAATCATCGTCACGAATTTAATCATAATTTATTTGTTCTATAACAAATAAAAAGAAAAACAAATTATACGATATTATTAACGATATATATACAAATGAATATTGATCGATAATTCATTGAAACAAAATAATATTTAAACGAAAAGAAAATGAAATAAATACAATAAATGATGAAATGACAAAAAAAAGAAATGAAAATGGAGAAAATACTAATGTATTCGTTCATGGATCATCTCCTATTTAAATGGTACCCTAATCGCGTTTCCGGCAAATTTCCTGCACCAGTTATCCATTGCCGGTTACGGAACCAACACACGTATAAACGTTTACAAATACGTACAACCCGGTTCGTTTGGGGGGTAAGAAAAACTTACTTAACTTACCCCACCAAGTTAAACTTTGACTAATTCTCGTGGTTTTTGAAACAAATTTGAATTAGGAAATAAAATAGAACTTTTTACGATTGGATATTTTTTATCGATTATTTCTACCAACGATAATCGTTTTCGAGAATGATTTATTTTTTTAAAAAGTATTTGCTTTCTCTTTTTCTTTTTTTTATATTTTCAACTTTATCGAAATGCATATTCACCGTTTTACTATATCTATCTATCTATCTCTCTCTCGTCTTGTTTCACTGTCCACGTGGTTGCATCTCTTGCGAGGGAAAATGTAATGAGAGAGAGAGAGAGAGAGAGAGAAGACGAATTACTAGCGTCTCTGGTTGGTTGAAAAGGGAAACGCTATGAAAGGGCGTGGTCACGTTACAATACATAAGACAATTTTTCGAAAATCCCTTTGTCGAATATTCGCAAAATTTATCGATCGTTAAGAATAAAGAAATCATTTGGATGAATATATTTAATAATAACAGTCGACGTGTGTTCACTTAAACCAATTACGAATTATACTGGGTGTCTCGTGCATCGCAGAGTTTACATCCCTTTTTTTTTTATTTTTGCATTATTTTCAACAAAATGTTTTAAATAAACGTAATGCAATATTATATTCTATAGAAAAATTTCTATAATATAATTAATAATAATAATTTTATGTTCGTTAATAATTACCCCGTAACTTGTAACGATATAAATTCATTCGATTTTCGGATAATTTTGAAAGATTAACGATACAAAATTCATTTTTATTTTGTTTTAAATATAAAGATTTTAAATTTATTATTTTATTATATATATATATATAGAGAAAAAAATATCTAATGCAGATTTTAATAATCATTTATAATACGATACCTATTATATTTTATACCAAAAAATGTTTAATTGGGGCATGACATAAGCTGAATATTATTATAACCCAAGGCCAATTGCGTTCCATGTAATATCACTAATTGTTCGGATCGTTGCGGAAGCCCGACGAATACGGTTCAGAATTGTCTCACGTGCCAAGTCGTAAAATTCCTTCCCCCACAAACCCTCCCACAAACCCCCCACAACCCCTCCACAACTCCCCAAAATTATTCCCCTTTAAACTCCTACTAGAAAGCTCGGTATCCTTCATACGAAATAAAACGATTCAAATTTATCTCTCTGTGTGTATGTACATGTAAAATGTATGTCTATATGTTAATTCGATGACATGTTTAATCGTTGTTTAATTTTATACAGAAATATGATAATAAGTTATATTTTATTGTTTTAATATATTGGAATTTGAAAAATAATTATTAACAAAAATGAATATACCCCAATTTATCTTTCTTCGTTTAATTGTGAATAAAAATTATTGAAAAAAATATTCTATATATTATATTATATATTTCTATATATATATATTGAAATACCCCCATATTATTGATTAATGGGAAACTTTCATGAATGTTTCACGAACACTACGAGCATATGTAAAACTATTCATTTACATATACATTGTTTTATATATATAAGCGAATAGAATGGTCTATTAAAGTATTTCTATAAATTAACTATACCACCCCACCCCACCCACACCGACCAATCGACCGAATTGTCCGAGGTCGAGCTTAAAAGCTCGAGGGACGAAAAGGAAATTTTCTGAAATGGAAGCCAAGAATGCACCGGATGCAGATAACGAACGAGTTCTACAACGAAAAAAAGTTTGGAAAAAAAAAATATAAGACAAATAGTTAAGTAAGAAGAACTTGTGTGTGTGACCTCCCTCCCACCCCTTTTCCCATTAACGAGATTTATAACGTAAAAACCATAAATATTATATTCTTTCTAAACTTTCTCTTCAAATTTTCTTCAAATTAAAAGAATATTTTTGTATACCACACGTGTGTAAGTGACTAGAGAAAGAGGAAACAATTTTTTATTCTTTTTTAATTAAAATTAATGCTTGATAACAAACGTTAGATTATCTTTTAATAAGAAATTTTTCTCAATTTTAAAACTAATTTTTTGTTCACAATAATATCGACAAATTTATATTTAATATACTTTATATTTAATATACTTTAATATACAAATATACGTAATAACTTATATAATATTGTTATATTTATATAAGTATATGTGCATACATTTGTATATTATTAATATACTATTGTAATATTGAAATACTAAAAAAAAATTTTATACTAAAAGTGCACCGATAATATAATATACAAATTATCATATATATTAAAGTTTCTTACAAATTATGATACTATATTCTTTTTATATTTTCTTTTTTGAATATACACTTGAAGAAAGTTAAATACAAAAATATGACGAAGAATAAAGAAACTTTGTGTCATTTTTGCATTCAAATGCGAACAAGTTTTCGTCCTCGACCCAATATATTCTACACATGTTGATCAATAAAATTTATAAACGTATTATGTATTAGGATAGAAAAATGATTTATACGAGTATCAAAATTGTTTAAAAAAAAAAGACAAAACTTTCTTATCAATCAACTCGTGTATAAATTTTTTCTCAGGCCGTGGAAAAAGTCGATTGGACTGACCAAATAAAAACAAACCAAAAGATAGAAGAAGTAGAAGTAGAAGTAGAAGTAGAAGAAAAAGAAAAAGAAAAAGAAAGAAGTGAGAAAAGTAATCTCAACTGAAAAGATCAGAAAGATATATATATATATATATATATATATATATATATATATATACTTCTCACTAGATTCTAGTTTCTTTGGAGGACGTCGATGAAGGGAAGCATCCGAACGAGTGCAAAAATAAAAAGGTTGGATAATACTTAACACTCGTGGTTTAGAGAGAGAAAAAAAAAAAGAAACCCTTGAAAAATAGAGAAGAAAACATACAAAAGATAACAATAACTTTTGATCTAACAACGAATAAAACCTGAACAATAATAGTATTCTATGTAATTGTGAAAAATGGACAAACAAAGTGGATTATATTAAAAATACTACTATTACTACTACTACTATATTTAATCCTTTATCTGAAAATACTTTAACGTTTCTACGTATATGAATATTTTGATGAGACTATCATCCCTGTACATACGTATTTATGCATAATATTAATCATATATATGCTAAATTATTAAAATATTATATTAATAATTTTAAATATAATTATTAAAAAATATATATTGTGCATTATGCTATATACACAATACAATATTATTACAATACACACACACATATATATATGTATATTTATATGTGAGAGTTGAAACGTAAGTAACTTGTTGCATTCACTTATCAAAAGACATTCATTCATTATTCTTGAACGAAAAGCATTTCACAAAGCAACATCAAAAGATTATAAGTAAGTAAATAAGTATTAGTGAAGAGTCAAATCTTGAGAACTGAGTACTGTGTCTTGTATCATCACCCTTTGGCTATGGATGTCAGAAAGGAAAGTTAACCATAAGATTTTTCCTGAGATAAAGAACGAGTGAAAGAGTGAAAAGAAGAAAAAATAAAAAAAGAAAGAAACGATGAGGAAGAGAGGATGAGATGAGAGAAAAAGATAATAAAGTTTTTCGTCAGAAGATCTATTTTTATGGCAAACGTCAAGTCGAACCTCTTCTAACTTGTAAGAGCAAGAAAAACATAGAATACACTTTTTGAAAGAACCTTTAAGGATATACCTCAAGAAATAAAAATAAAGGAGTATAAGTTTACAAAAAAAAAAAAAAAGAAAAGAAGGGGGGGAAATAATGCTTTTACATTCAAAGGATAATAATTCTTATATATTTGTCTTCTTCTCTTTTTCTTCTTTCTAATTGAGAGAAAAAATAAATAATTTCTAACGAATATAAGAAATATTACGAATAATAAGCTTTTTCTATTGACCGACCGAAATATAAAATGGAAATTATTATATTCGACTTGTTTTTATTATATTAAATGGAATAAAACTTTTTCTTTTATAATCCTACGATTTAATTAACATTTTGTGTGTGTTTCTTTTTTCTCCCCTTTATGATATTCTACGAATATTATTAATATATATATATATATTCTTTTTAATTGCCAATTATATAATCGAGAATTCGTAATTTATTTGAATTTAAACTTTGAAGAGATCCCCGATTGTCTTAAATGAAAGCATGAATTATTTGTTTCTTTCTTTCTTTCTTTCTTTTTTTTTTCTTCTCTCCAATTAATTTCTACTTTTAATAAGCGTTGAATAAATTTATCCTCCTTGTTAAAGAATAATTATATCCGCGTGGTAAAAAAAAAAAAGAAATTAATATAATATCGTATGAAATATTAATAACAAATTGTACAAATTATCTTTCCCGGAAAATATATATATTTGAATTTAAATCTTTTGAAAAATTGTATTTCACTGTGGAAAATTGATTTCATCTTATAAAGGATTAAGAAAAGTGTGGGTGGAGGGTAGGTGGAAAAATTTAAGATATCACGTCGGACAGGATATGAAATTGAATCAGAGGCTTATATAAAGATACGACAAGGAGATACAATTTTAAAAGACAGATAGATCGTCTTCGTGGATCTCGTAAATCTCATGAGACTCGGTAAACCACGTACCATACATGTGTATACATGTATACGTATACGAGTATAGAGACTCTTTTTTACGATGAAATTCTTGAAATTTGTACAACTATACTATTCTTTAAGAAACGATCGAATTTAATCGTTTGTAAACAAATGTTTTATCTTCTTGTTATTAAGTAAAAAAAAATTACTTCGAACTTTGTTAAAAACAATTTTCTAATCTGTGACACGATATTATATGATTCAACTTTTATTTTTTTTACTATAAAAGTTATTCAATAATATTAAAGGATAGATTTATGTATTTCGATTAGAAAATTATTTAAAAATTAATAAGATTAATTTCTATATATTTTCGTAATGATCATATATATATATATATATATATAATATAAATGTTTCAAAATTTATAATATATATTTGTTATAAACGTGTATGGAATTCATTTCTATCGACTTTAATATTTATGCACAACTTCTCACATTTTCCACGCAAAACATATTATATATATATATATCTATGCATACTCTATGCTTAAAGTTATTTATTGTTAATCCAGTTACCAACAATAGTATGAGAAATCTCCTGTAAAGCTTCGTACCCTTTTGTTTGAAATTTCCATTAATTCACGTTAACCCCAATGCAAATATATTTCTCTCGATAGAATATCAATAAACTTACTTTAGAGAATTTCTACAAACTAGTCTAAAGGATATTGAAATCAGTGTCATTTCGTTTGTTTGTTATTTTCTTTTTTTGTTTGGAGATAATCCACCTCATTGGTACCTATCGATTTAAATTGGCTTTTGTGCATGTACAATATCAATTTATAGAACTCCTGAATATATGCAACCAAGCCAACGTGCACGTATTTCCACGGATTGCGTACATTCAGGCGTTATTTAAAAATAATAGGAGTCTGTGTATAATATATTATGTTGTATTAAATTATATTTCTTGTATATATTTCTATTGAATATATGATTTTATTTAAATTAATATTTTAAATGTTTATACGGTTGCTATACAAAAAATTAATTTTTCCCACAAGAAATAAATTTTTGTCAAATTAATAAAAATCTGTCACGTGTTATACACATTTGATATTAAATAATCGGATAAAATATTTAATTAATTTTGTAAATATTGAAGTTTATTTTATATAGAAAATATCGATTTTATTTGGACTGAAGATAATTTTTGACGATGTTTCAGTTCGATTTGATCGAGTTTATGAAGATAATGTACTTCGGACGTGCATAAGGAAGGAGATGCACGTGACGTACCAACTTAGTCAAACTTCGAGGTAAGAAACTTATTTTCTTTCCGTTTTCTTTTTTTTCTTTTTATAAAACGATTAGAAAACTTTTCATAAATGAAAATTTATGATTCAACTAATGTTCAAAGTGGAAACACTTAACTGGATAAATGAAAAAAAAAATCATTTTCCCGTAATCACGTATAACAACAGCTTACTTCTTCGATTTATCGTTTTGATAACACTCTTCCCAGCTAACTCGAAGACAAAATAATCTTCCTAAAAGCTTTTATACTTAAATACCGAACATTCCAAAGTACACAACGTAACAGTATCATTATACAATGGTAAACAATTTAAAAAGAAAATTCGTACAAAGTTCTTACACATTATTTCGCACTTTTTCTTCTAATTTTATTTTATATCCTCTCTTGACATTTGTTTAAATCAAAGAAATTAATTAAACCGTAAAAACCATTTCTATTGTGCGATTATTTTCGCACAGTAGAAGACCCCACCAAAACTGTTACCGGGAAATTACAGCAATAATTAAAAGGAGAAAAATAAATGGCATTTAATTATTATTCAATTGAAAAAATAAATAAAAATAATCCTTTTTGCTATACGAATTAACTAATTTTTTTCTTCTTCTTTTTATATTTTATTTATAATCGTCCAAGAAATTAATTCCATTCATTTAATTGAAATGTCTCAGATTTAAATGATTGTATTTTTCTTGTTCTTTCTTAATCCTTATTAGGTGACAAACGTGAAGTTAAGAAAGGAAGGAAGGAAGGAAGGAAAGAGAAAAAAGACAAGGAAAGGAAAACAAAAGGACAGAAAGACAGAAGATGCCGGTCGGTGGACGTGTTGCTGGCAAAGTTGGGATTTATAGTTCCCATTACAATGGTAATGGTGTGGATATCAAGGCATTAGGTATAGATATCCTATATGGAGGATGAAATCGAGGAGAAAGGAAAATGTTGCTTCTTGTTTTCTTTTTCTATTTTTTCTCTCACTCTCTTTCTTTCTCTCTCTCTCACACACACACACACTTACTATATTTCTCTCTTTCTCTAATAAATTACAAAGAATTTATTCTTGACTCGTTTAAATGCACTTTCAAAGTACAATGATTATCGTTCTATCGTATTTAATAACACGATTATTTACGTCTATTTTTATTATTATCAAATATATATGTGTGTATATATATATATATATTTCTAAATTTTACGCGCATTTTTCAAAGAACTTTCCAAAAATTAGCGAAATAAGAAAGTAACGAAATATCAAATTTCATTTCTACAAAATGATTTCTATTTACGGTTTTAATATATAATCCACGAAATCGAAAAGAAATATTCACAAGATATTCCCCGCTACGAGGGCAAATTTTATTTTTCGAAAGAAACTCGATAAATTTTTATGAAATAAAATATGAATTATAATAAAGAAATATCGAATCTCCGAGTAATAATGTCGTTTTAAAAAGTTATCAAATTTTATTCTATTTTAATATCCTTCCCAACAGATGTGTGTATACAAAATTTCAAATTTGCTATAAAAGTAATTGAAAAAAAAAAAGAAATAAAAAAAAGGAAGGAAAAAAATCTTCTTCAATCTTCCCCTTCAAACTCTTCTTTTTTTTTTTATATATAGATCTCGAAAATAAAATATTTCCATCTCGTATATACGCATACCGATATAAATACGTATATAGATAAAATTTTATGTATAGAATTTTCTTTTTACATATATCGCGTTACTTTAGTTTGAAAAAGCATCTTTTCTTGGTTGCATCATCGATTTACATCGTTCCTATAGAATATCAATTTTAACAGCGCCTGAATGTATGCAACTGTTGATACACTCGCGTACTAGCAACGTGTATCAAAGGTAGCATCAAAACTCAGGCGTATTTTATATATAACATACGAAAAATAAATCCTCTTTTAATAGGTATCTACACAACTTTTTTTCGTTATTATAAATTATAATACTTAATCGATATAATATATACTTAAATTTTTATATTAAAATAAACGAAACGTGAGAAACGAAATGAAATGAAACGAAACGAAATGAAATAAAACGAAATGAAAAAAATTGTTAATAATTATTTTCAGGTAAAGGTTACAGTGGAATTAACGAAGAGATCATATGGATCAGTATCGGTATGGGAATAGCGATAGCTGTGTTGATAACGATAGCACTTTGCTATATAGCACGTGAAAAGTGTCGTAAACGTCACGAAGGTTACTATTCCTCCTGACACACGTTACCCCCGCCCGCTTGGGCGAATTGTTCAACTTTCACACCAACAACCCCTAGGGTTTACTTCAGCCCCACAATCTCAAAGGACAAGCCACGAGCTTATTACATCACCGTTTAAGTGGAATGTCACATCGATCGATGATCCTTTCGAAGTGAGTAAATATGTTATTTCATTCTTATTTTTCTCTTCTATTCTTTTTATCTTTTTTATTTTTTCTCTTCTTAACATTTATATGACAAAGATTATTTTGTACGAGGAATTATCTGGAAATTCTTTTTTTTGTATTCTCGATATATTGTATATTTACTTTTAAGAATCTTAGAATATGAAAAAATAGTTTTAATATATACAATTTGTGTGTTTTTATTAATTAATATTTTATTCGTTAAATAAAATGGACGGATAAATTGATGGATGGGTTGAAAAGTTTGCTCCTGGCAGCGCCTATAATATTTTTGTGGTAAAAACAATTTTGTTTTTGTTTTCGATAAATTCGTTATTAACCCAGAACAGTCAAAAAAGGGAGTTGACCAATTTGTTATAAAATTTGATCCTCGCAAATTTGTAACTTTGCCAACGAGGAATAATTATTTGTCTTATTTATTTAAAACGAAATGAGTACAATTTTGTCACGTAATATTGTTGAAATAAAAATTTGATCGCTACAAAAAAATACTAATATTTCCAAAGAGAAAAAAAAGAAAAGAAAAAAAAAAGAAAAGGAAAAAACGTATAAAAATCTCGTCGTGAAGAAATTGGGACGAGTTTGCTTAAGAGGATAAAAAAAGAAAAAGAAAGAAAAATAAGAAAAGAAATGTTGATATCTTTGAAAAGAAAAATCTCGTAAAAGGGAAGAGAACAACGTCCCATCATGTAAGATAAACTAGAATGAGACCTCAGAAAATGAGATTTTGGTTGATCATAAATCACCGAGATGCACCAAAGAGAGTTGCATTGGATTTTTTTTAAGTCGATCGTGATACGCATGCAAATCTTCTTCTTCTTCTTCTTCCTCTTCTGCTTTTTCTTCTTCTTCATAGTTCAAGCCTGCGCGCATTTTATATTTCCTACTATTTTCCTGTTTTTTTTTTCTCTTTTTCCTCCAACCCCTCACACGCCTCCCTTTGTATTTTCCTCCTCTTTCTCTTTTTCCCTTTTTCTATTTTTCCAGCAAAGTAAAAGAAAAATCCGAATTTTACGTTTCTCATAGAAGACAAAATTGTACGACGTATACTCCACTGCTGTTGCTGGCTGCTATGTGGGTGGTAGTGTCACCCACAAGTTTCTAAAACGTAGTAACAATCGTTTCGATTGAACTTACTTTTATTTTTAGAAAAATATAAACGAGTTTCCTTTATTTTCTTCTTCTTCTTTTTTTTTTTTTTTTTCTTTCTATTCCTCCCCATCGTAATAGGGCACGAAACACACTTTTCAACCCATCCTCGTATTTTAAGGACACGATCGTTTTAATCTAAATTTAAACTATATGTTTATAATAAAAAAAAAAAAATAAAAATAAAAATAAAAATACAAATACAAATAATATTGCGCACGAAGATAAAAGAAATAAAAAGGATGACGATTATAAATCGTCATAGAAAAATTCTTCCAAACGATTATCCACGTACCTTCCGATAAGAAAAAAAAAAAAAATAAAGAAAAGATATTTAATGAAAGTCTTTGATCAAAGTGTTCTCAATGTAGAAAAATCATAAATTTAAAAAAAGAACAAAGAAAATAAAAATAAAAAATATACAGATACATAAACAATAAAATAAGAACGAGGAAACAGAACAATGTAAAGAGAGAAAGAGAGAGAGAGAGACACGACGAATTAATCGATTAATCGATTAATTAATTAAATAAATTAAAACGTTTTGCGAGATTGGAGAATTTAGAAAAGAGAATACGAATAAATACGAGAACAACAACAAATTGATTTAAATTTAATTTGTTTTGTTCTTCCTCTTCGTATAATTTCTTTATTAAATTTTCAAATTTCTGTTAATTAAAACGCACGCACGTGTACATAAAAATAATATCGTCTATGTGTTAAAGCAAATATCATTGACTACACTTTTAATCTCAAAATGATCTACAATATTGCATCGATATTGCATTTGTTGAAAATAATTATTATTAAATAATCATGTATTAAATATAAAACATACTTTTTCACAAACCAGATATTTCTTTTTTCAATTAAAAATTTATTTGACGAACAATAAACTCGCAATCGGATTAACGCAAATGTTAGTTAGTGAGATTTGGCTTAACATATACGATAATAATATCGAAACTTTTAACGAAGCATCATCCTCGTCTTTCATCTCTTTCTCTCTCTCTCTCTCTCTTTCTGTCAAATATTGTCTTCTCTTTAAAACAGTAAAAAACAACCAAAAATATATATATATATTTAAACAAACAAAAAAATGCGACATAAACGCACGTACTGATTGTAAGAAAATTTTGACCAAAAACTCTAGCGTATATATATGTAAAATATATATATATATATATATACAAAAAAAATATGTATGATATACCATGTAATGCATACATTATAGTAATAAGTACATTATACATTCGCGTACGTATTCATAAAACGTAATTATTATTATTATTAATAATAATAATAATAATAATAATAATAATTGATTGATCGATTAATCATATAGAACGAACTTAGAATTATAAAAAAAAAAAGAAATATAAAAAAATAAAGAAGAACGGGTATTTAGCATTAGATAGTTTACATATTTAATACGAGAGAATAGTTATATCGAAATTGTTCCTTAGACATGAAAAAGAAAAAAAGGCAGAAAAGTAACCCAACAACAAAATGTTACGAAAAATCATTGTAATTATGGATGGACGAAGGAAAAATGAATTTTTCGATTTATTCGATTGTCGACATTTTGTCGCACGGTAGCAGAAGCTGCTTCCTTCTTGTTTTACAACTGAATATAAAATATTTTTTAACGAATATTATATATATATATATATAATATATACGTAATTAATACTGATTCGATAAAAACGATCGATCATTATCACAATCGTTCAATTTAATTAATTTGATAATTGATTCAACACACGTATATTATTTTAATAAAATAAATTCTAATGAATAAATTTATAATCCCTTTTAATGATAAAAAAATAATAAATCAATAATCTAATAAAATAATCTAATAAATGAAATCTAATCTCGTGTTAATAATATTATCACACACATATCGTATTATAAATGAAATATATGATTTAAAAAGGTTCCGTAGGTAATTCGGAATTCAGATCACAAAAAGAAACAAAAAAAGAATTGAATTGATGAAATCTATGCTGATCCCGATTAAAAGCTTGTTATAATACTATGTCAAGGACTTTTCTCGAGCGAACGATTGTGGTCAATGAATCGGTGCCAACAAAGGAAAAGATTCTGCTACTATTCTATTTTACTTCTGCAATATGTATTATATAATACATATATGTATATGTGTCACATATGATGTACTGTTAAGATATTCCTTTTACAAAAAGAAAATGAAAAAAAAAAAAA